TACACCTGGGGTTCCCCCCCCTCATGTGTTTAAATAGTCCTCGTTTCCCCTTGTCTTGTGCCAGTGCGTTTTCGTCCGTTTCGTCCTTCTGGTTTCGTCTGTTTTCGTCGCCAGGTTTGCTTTTTGTCACAGTCACAGTTTTGCCACAGCTTTTGTCACAGTTTTGTTCATCTTTATTTTGCTACTTTGCCATAGTTTTGCCTCAGTCTTGTTTGCTTATTTGCTTCGATACTTTGCTTACAGTTTTTCCCACAGTCTTGATTTGTACTTTGTCTGGACGTTCACTCTTCATGAGTGTTTTTTTGTGACAATAAACCTTGTCTTCCCTTATCTCCGCACCTGAGTCCTCCCTCCAAAAAAACCCCCCCCCACACGACAGTTAGTTACCAGGCCTTCGGAGGGCTTGACGTTGGTGAGGTGCACCAGCTCCAGGTGGGCCGACTGGGACACCAGCGGGTCCGAAGAAACGCACACGATGTGCTCACACACCTCCGACAGCGTCTTACACTGCAGGGAAACCGCAAAAAACAGCAAAAACAGGGGGTTTAACACTTTATTCTGTGGTTTTAAGGTGGAAAAAAGAGATTTTATGCAGTTTTATGCAGTCAAAACGCTGCAAATTGAAAACCAGAGAAGGTAAACGACAAAAAACAGGGGTTTTAACACTTTCATCTGTGGTTTTAGTGAGAAAAAGTGAGATTTTATGCAGTTTTGTGCAGCCAAAATGCTGCAAATTGAAAACCAGAGAAGATAAATGACAAAAAACAGGGGTTTTAACACTTTCATCTGTGGTTTTAGGGAGAAATAATGAGATTTTATGCAGTTTTGTGCAGCCAAAACGCTGCAAATTGAAAACCAGAGAAGATAAACGACAAAAAACAGGGGTTTTAACACTTTCATCTGTGGTTTTAGGGAGGAAAAGTGAGATTTTATGCAGTTTTGTGCAGCCAAAACGCTGCAAATTGAAAACCAGAGAAGATAAATGACAAAAAAACAGGGGTTTTAACCCAGAGAACATAAAGCTCCCAGAATAAAGCATCTGTCAGTGGTTTTCTCTAAAACTTTTCAATTACTTGAATTAAACCTCATTTTCTCTTTTCTAATTAGTGTTCTTCTGCTAACTTAGATGCAGAAACCTGTGGTTTTAGTGAGAAAAAAATGGATTTAATGCAGTTTAATGCAGCTAAAACGTCGCAAATTGGAATCCAGAGAAGATAAAGCAGCCAGAATAAAGCGCCTGTCTGTGTTTTTCTCTACAACTTTTAAATTACTTGAATTAAAGTCGATTTTTGCCTTTTTCTAATCAGTGTTTCTGTGCTAAATGAGGTGCAGAAACCTGCATTTCCATAACACCGGTGAAGGTTTTTTTCTTTTTTTTT